GGCCTACCTGTGAACCGCAGGCCGCTCCCACAGTACGACTCGCAGAAGCCCATCTCTGCCGCCTTGTTCTTGTAGTGCATGTCCTCAAAGAAGATGGAGACGGGCCTGGGCTGGGCCGACGTCTCGGAGGAGCCGCCGCCGGCCCTGACCGAAGCCGGCGGCGGCTCGCGGCCGCCGAGCGGCGCGCCCGAGGGCTGCAGGACTTCGCCGGCAGAGCGAACCGAGGCGGCGAACACGAACGGGACGAGCTCGGCGGGCTCGACGGCCGGAGCTTGCGACGAAAAGCCTCCGGAGGCGGAGCGGGGCGGAGGCTGCAGTGTCAGCTGGAGAGGAACGGGGCCCGGGTTCGCGGCGCGTGCCCGGTCCGCTCTCGCGGCGGTGAGGAGAGCGGCGATCGACTGGGGCAGAGGGGACAGCGGCTGGACGCTGACCGAGGAGACGCGCGAGTGCCCCCGCTGCCGGGCTCCCGGCGAGTGGGAGGAAGAGGTATGCGATCCGGCGGACGCGGAGGTGAGGGTGCTACTGGTGTGTCCGCGAGAAGTGACTCTTGGAGAGGAGTTAAAGTTGGGGGTTGGGGAGGTATTTGGGCCGCTATTTAGAGAAACGTGGTTACGTTCGCGAGAATGTCTCATCAATTGTGAGTTTGCAAAGGCGATCCGTGTAGAAAGAGACGATCTGTTTGGGTTAAACCTCCTTGTCCCTCGCGACTGGCTTCGAGATGAAGGCGTGGGGGATATTGAAGTGGACACAGACGCCTCGCTCTGACCCGTCCTGATCGGTTCCTGTGATAAACCCTTCGATGGGGAAACGGATAAGGATTGAGCTAAAACTGAAGAGCCCCCACCCGTGTGACCTCGAGCAGGGCCCCGGGAGCGTCTGGTAACGGCTGGGGACAGCCCAGATACCTGCCGATTCCCCTCAATCCTACTCACGTCTACCCGTGGGAAGTCCCTGGACTGGGAAGCAACGCGTAGAGACGGAGCGGGGCCTCTCATCCCCTCCCTGCCGCGTCCCCGTCCCGGGCGCCTGGAGCGGAAAGCCCTGCTCTGTCCCCGTGGGGGACCCCTGAAGCGGGATGTCAGGGGGGTGCGCGGCTCTTGATCCTGCTGACTGTGCTGGGGGGTCGGATCGGGACGGGACGACGTCGAAGGGGACGCGCGCGTCGGCGGCAGCCCATAAAGACCACTGGGCTCGCTCGGCACGTGAATCGAGAACACATCCGCGTCCGCGCCGAGTCCGACGGCCACCAGGGCGGCGACACAGGCGAGGGCTGCGACCGAGTTCATGGTGCCACCACGCCCTCCACGACCCCCGCGCGCGCGGCTGACCGGACTGGACTGACACTGGCGACTGCGCCGGTCGTCATGTCCGCCTCCTTTTTATAACCCCCGCTCCCCATCCCCCTCGCCCGGCGCCGTGACGTCATCGGAGCCGGTGCCCCCTGTGACGAAAGTGGCGTTGCCGGACGCGGTGTGCAGTGATATACTGACACGCCGTGGGAACGGTACGAGCATGGGGTGCTGAGACGCTAGGGGCTGCTGTTTTGGGCAGCCTGTGATGGGCGCAGGCCAAGGCAGGGACCGTATGCCCGTGTGGGGTCGGATCATGGGGTGATGTGCTCATTTTGGCCTCAGGTCAAGGCAGGAGGCTTATGCCCGTGTGGGGTCGGAGCACGAGGTGATGTGCTTATTCGACAGCCCTAGGTCTAAGCAGGAGGCCTGTCCCCGTGTTGGGTCGGATCGCGGAGTGGTGTGCTCATTCCAGTGCCTCAGGTTAAGGCAGGAGGCACCCGGAACAGGAGTGCAATTGGCATGGCTCATCTGTTTAACTGAGCGTGCCTTTGACGAGACTCCACGAGCAACTTGTCTTCAGTCGCTTAAAAATGCATGAAAAACGTAAATTATGCACCATTATCTATGTGGTCTTCATTTGTTCCCGCGTGATATTGGTCAACTTTGCCGATATTCTGTGACGGGAACATTAATGAGATAAGCAGCCAACACTAGAACACAAATATAGACGGCAGAATATGCCTACCTAAGTTTAGAAAGGAACTCTGTCCAGAAAAGTGAAATACAATTCAAACCTTCAACGCACTCTCACGTTACGATGAGGCATGGCGCATTCAAAGCATTCAAAGCCCCGGAGCCCATTTCAAGCAGCTTATGAAGAAGATACCACGCTTAGTATGCTCCACCGCCTTGCTTGCTATCCCATTCATTGCCCACGGTGTTTTGCGCCCATCTCTGAAGCGTAAACAACCTACGGCACGCCCAAGATTCGCCGCTGGGTGTGCACCATGACATCTAAGACCGTTCTGCACAAAGAGCAGGTGTTTTCTGCAACTCACGCGTTGAATCAATAGACCAATACAGTTGCTTGCGCCGACTCATGCATCCATGCAGATCCAAACAGCCTCATGTCTTGGCAATGTACACAGTCATGGCGTGGTGATTGTTGTGATGACCGAACGGTTCTGGGCTAATCTCTATTTGCTGCAAAGGTTGAGGTCTTTCCCGCAAAGATCAGCCGCTACTAGAAAATGGTAAAAAAATTTATAAATTTGTTCCAGAAGAAAAGTGGCGAGATTATTTGTCTCGTTGCGTCATGAATAGACCAGAGCGAGAAATTCTACTTAAAACTTTACCGTCTGCACTAAAACACAAGCAGCGGCCGTCTCGAATGTAAGCAGAAACTGACCCTTACCGTCTAACTGCGACGCTAAGCTAATAGTTCCCGGAATTAACACAACTCGCATGCAGGCGTTGAGTAACCAGGCGAAACACCTGCTATGCCAGAAAACCGGACTTTATCCTGAGAAACACCCAGCCAGGTCAAGCTTGGCCGGTCGGGGAGATTACCGGAAGCCTCGTGCGTACCCGCTACTACACCTGTGATGAGCGCATAGACCTGCGCTACGCCACATTGGGCCCGGGAGGCCGTTCCATGAAATGTCCAAACCATGTTCCATGTTCCATGAAATGGCCGTCCAAACCACAGCCGGAAATTCGCACGCTCCTACTGGCGGTTGCCGCCCTGACGTTCGCCATCTCCACACGGCAGCATCACGTCCGAGCCCGTACCAGGAGCCGTAACAAGGGATCCGTGGAGGCCCCGGGGCGGAGAGCAGCGTTGGATGGCGCGTCAGGGTCACCGACGGTGTCCCGCACCGCCCGGCTGATACGGAGGCATTTCCTTGCGCGGCGGCCAGGCCCCTTCCGTTGACAGGGAGCGGTGCATGACCGACGAACGGCGACTATGCGAAGGTCTGGGCGGGGGTATCGGCTGACTCACCGGGCCGCACCCAGAAGACGCTGATCGGATATACACAGATATCCACAGGGTCCATTTGGTAACAAGTGCTGGCCTGATGTGCCTGGTGAAGCTTGGACGACGCGGCCGCCACGTTTGGGGGATGAAATTTCAATATGTAATACTAACTAGTGGCTCAGACTAGGGGTGGACCGATGCGGCTTTCACCGCCCCCCCCCCCCCCCCCTCTCCCGGCAAGAATGAGCGCTGGTTTTCACCACGACCCTTTTCAATAAAATTCCGGAATTTGGCGATCACGACGGCTAATTTGGTTCCGAGCTTATAGACACCAGTATGCGCACCTGCATGTAGAGCCCAACAGCCATAGGATTGTAACAAGACTAAGCGATAGTCGAGTGAATACGCATGGTGTGCAGCGGCAACAATTGCTTAAGACTCCAAGACAAACCAACATCGCTAGCTCATTATGACGCTAGGTTTTGTACCTTTAAGGTTTTTTTAGGGGGAGGGGAGGGATCTCCTAGTCTGTTCGCAGTGCGCAGGTGTATTGCCAGTGGTTACATCCCCCGCCCCCCCCCCCCCCCCCCCCCGTCGCCACCCTTCGCATTGCTGGCCACGCCCCAGGTGCTAAGTATTGAAATAGCAGTCCTCACTATCATGCTGACTTTGAAGACCTTGCTAAGCCTGTCTTCAAACTCGCATGATGCATTATTCATGAATGGAATAATTGTCACAAAAGCCGCATGGCGGATTTTGTTTAGTCGCCGTAGGAAGCTTAGCCCGACACCGCGTGACAAAAAATGCAACTCAGAATCTTAACGCAAAGCTTTGGCTCGGAAAACGCCCTCGAATCTTACATTGGATTTGTGCCGATCGACGAATGAATCAGTCAATGAATAGACGAGAAACGTTTTCACGGGATTTTTATTGAAACCTTTCGGCAAGCGTGAAAAACTGGTATGAAGTTCGTAATTCAAAGGAATTATACGCTTTGATTTACGCAGGAAAATAAAGTTGTGTTAATTCATTGCATTTTAGAATGGTTATGTACCACAATCCCACACCTTTTCGTTTTCCCGTTCACTTGAGGAAAGTGCACGTTCTTCGTTAGATCTAGCTACATCCACCAATTTTGCATCATCACACGCCGGCTGCACTGCTCGCATCGTCCGGGTGGTGGCGTCCGATTGAGGTCACATGACCACCACCTGAGTCACGTGACCGTGACCTGACCCGCCGCTGGGCTATGATCTGATCTGACCTGACCCGACCTGAGGCCGCACTCCTCAGGAATCACTGCTCTGCTAATTGCAAGACTCAGCTCACAAGCAGATACCAGCTCACAAAAGCCATTCGGGGGCGCGGACCAGACATCCTCCCAAAACATAGCTTTGGCTGTGACTTTGGTGAATTTGGGCGAGCGTTTGTTCATTTTAACAAGCATGGGGGGGGGGCATATAAACGTTCTGCTTGCTACGATGGGCTCGTGCAGTTTGAAACCCGCTTGGTTCACGGGATATGTGGTGGGAACGTACAATAATGAGGCGTAAAATTTGGAGCGCATTCAGCGGATTGAAGGAGAATATGTTTAATCATCCTAACGCTACGCAGTGTTACATTGGTGAAAAAAAATCACTTTAGCAAACCTACCATTTGAGCAGGCGATTTCATGCAATTAAGAAATAATATTTGCATGTTTGCGTGCCACACCCACCATAATGACTTACCTGTATTGACTGATCCCTCAGCGACGTAATCTGAAAACGAAGCATGCTTTACTGATTTGTGTGACAAAACATGTGAAGCAACTAGTTGTGGCTAAGACGTGAGGATATCAGACATTTCGTAGTATGTCATCCATGCTAATTCACTTCCAGCATTGTACGCACAACTCAAATTAGTAAGATTGAATAAACTTAGGCATTGATTGTCGTATATATGACTGCTGCAATGGCAAGGCCTGCACAAGTAAGCATTATGTGCAAATCACTGAAACAGGCAAAACGGGCGATAAACATAACATTTTAAAGCATGTGCCATGACTAACTGTTCAATTTATTTGCATCGTATCAATAGCTTATTGCGCACACTTGTCGATTATTTTGCTCACTCTGAATGCAAATTGCACCATCTTCCTCTTCGTAACAATCCTCTCCCGGGGCGCAGATCTTGGTGGCGCAGGACTCCCGTTCTGAGAAAGATGACTTTAGTTATGATATGCATGCAGTCCGCCTTATATCGCATATATATATATATATATATATATATATATATATATATATATATATATGTATATATATATATATATATGCATGAATAATTTGGGAAATAATACGGGCATGCCCGAGCGATAGCTCCTCCGAGCATTACAATGCTCGTGTCAGCCCGAGCTAGGTCGAACAGGCGCACGCGATGGAAAAAGGGATGGTTCAGAAACTATCCAAGGGCCGAAAGGGAGGAGAGTTTTTCTTTGGTCGGGAACTGTACTAAGTGCAATTAGCGTCGGCAACGTCCACAGCATCTGCACTCACATTACACCAACGAGGGTAAATGTCGTGGAAGGCCCCAGCCATTGCATGAACATTTGTTTCATTCACCCTCTCATGCTCATTCTTCGCTTCATTCAATATCCTCAAACAGCTCATCATTACCGGAACATAGCGCTGTCATGAGCCAAGAGCCAGTCCACCGACCACCGTGGATGGGAGTCCCCAACCCCTCCCACCCCTTCCCCTGCACCTGCACAATCTCTGACGGAGGGTCCAGGCGCGCTGTAGAGATTGGTAGCAGTGTTGACCCCGAACGGTTGCAAGAGCGTCCACTCTGGACATCATATGTTATGTCATGTAATATTATATTATATTCAGCAATAGTGTTCTTTCCTGAATCCCAAAACTCTGCACAAGCATTTTCAGGACACAAGAACTCCAGCGTCAGGGAGTCTAACCAGAGCGGACCATCGCCAGCCCATCGCTTGAGTTGTGAGGCACTGCGATGCGATGCGATGGGGAAGCGATGGCGGGTTCAATGTTCACTGTCGTAAGTATTTTAGGGGTCCGCTACAACAAGCGAGAGCGACTAAAATGATTAAGGGTGTTGCAGTTGCCTGTGTCGTGATTTGCCTACGCGACTGGCGGAGGTGTGGGCGGCTGTGGATTTGGTCGCGTGCCAGTCGTCCGCCATCTAGTGGTCATCAGTAGAAGCTATAGTTTTGTCCATGCCGTGCCTGAACTCGTGGTTTTAGTACCCAGCAGTATTGGTTGTGCCAGCGTTTTCAGTACTACAGTGCGGATTCATACCCAGTTTGCAGCGAAAAACAGCAGTCTCCCTATCGTACGGTTGTTCGGGAGCTTTTTGCTCAGCTTGGAATAAGGATACCAAATGCCAAGAGTTTGCATGCTTGATAAAAGGATTTGCTTGGTATACAACACTCGATTAGTGTCCATTATCCCTACATATATGTCTTAGAAAGCAAAATTATGCCGTTGCCAAAAGGTCATCTATGCATGCATGCGTCGGCAATGGACATCCGTGTCATGGTATGATTATCTGCAACGGTGCCGTAAAGGCGGACTTGAACCCGTTGACCTTTACATCCCGAGGCCGTTTTGTCCCAAGGTCACACGTAAAAAATAAGTCAAGGATTTATGAGTTCATCCTGGGCCTTTCGCCACATTTTAAGCAACCAGCGTGACAGCTGTGGCTTGATAAACGGTCAATCATCTTAAACTGTTTCCCATTGCTCGTTAATCCTTATCCAGGTTGCTTTAGGTATGGAGCATGTCTGGAGATTCCGTGTGCTCGGGGATCCAGACCCCCCCCCCCCCCTCCTCCGCGGTCCCGGAAACTCTAGACTTTGGGGTTGCAGACTGTCCAAAGTTGAGGATCTGGTAGATCCAGAGACCTCATGGGAGGGCTGCTTTTTGGATAGCACGAGGCAAAGAAAAATGTCGGCATTAAACGTCGAGCTTCAAAAAAGAGTTGCTCTGCCAATGCAGAAGCTTATTTGGCGCACTAGCTTCAGCCGGCTCCTCAAGAGGTCTCACCTGGCCGTTTTGGGCCCCTCTGGCCGCTGAGCGTGCCATTCTGGAGGCCTCGCACCATTCCTGTCCATCAGGGGCACCCTGGCCGCATAAGGAACCTCCCAGTTACCTAGGGCCTCCTGTCCCATCACTGACGCTTTTTGGACACTCGGAGGACCCAGAAACTACTCAGGGTCTCTCTGACCACTCAGGGTTCGCAATTACTGCTCGGACCACCCAGATGCTCAGAGACCCCTTGCCTGCTCAAGGGTCGCTCGAGCTGCTCGAAGTCATTCTGGGCACTGAGGGGGCCTTTGAGGAGCCCCTGCCTCGTGTTGTTCCCTCTGACTGATCAGGGGCTTCATTAGCCGCCCAGGATTCATCCGGTCACCAATGAACGCCTCTGATTGTTCGGGGGTCCTTCTGGTCATCTGAGAGCTGGTCTAGCTGTTGTGGACCCACTGGCCATTCAGCGGTCCGCTTCGTCACCAGACTTATTTAGTCTCACTCTCACTGCCCTTGCACATTAATACATACATACATAAATTACACATATCGCATAACATAACATCACACATAGATAACACACATCTTGACATTCAAGAAAGTCAATGTAACTTGTTTTGATGTGGGGGTTTAGAGCACTCCTGGATGAACAAATATGCGAAAACCGATGAGCTTTTTGCAATAATTCAGAGCAACTTCTCGAAACCTCTGAACCTTTACTAGCGGACCAAACCCAAACATTATCAGCATGGGATAAAATAGCTGCTGATTTGATTGATGCACGTGGTCATCGTCCTTGTTCATCGAGGCTCCTCTCCCACTCACCTCGTACACAGCGGGCTCCGCTGGTAAACTGGTCGTGGCAGATGTAGCCGACTGGACAGTGCTTGTGCTCGCATGAGGCGGCATCTGAAAGGGAAGCAGGGGAGTTGGTTAGAGCGGGGTGCAGTACGAACATGTACAGCTGCCAGCTGACGTGACGAGGCTGTCCGGTGAAAGGGAAAGACTGCCTTTGTTGGCTTATGCACACAAGAGGGTCGTACGATAACCCGCTACCTCGTATATTACACACCCAGACCTTTCGTCGCTTTTGAAATGAGGATATGTCCATTGCGCATTAAGCAGGGCATGTTGTAAAATGCCGAAATGCCCACTAATTTAAACAATAGATAGATGGTGATTGAGGACTTAACTGAGGTGTTCCGGTAATATGTATAGCTGTTCAGTATTACGCAATCCGGTATTTAGTTCTCCAGCTATTGCTCCCATATCGATTGGTGTACGCTCCGAATTGTAACTACTAAGTAATGATCTCCAATTTAGGATAAAGCCCATATTTAGAACTCTTTTTTTATCTGCCTTGAATATCATTTCCATTTGCATGTATTGTGTTGGTTTTCAATTAAGAATGGTGGCCGTCGCTGCTGGTAGCGGCATCAATGTCTCGCATCCATGTATCCGTCTGGCATCTTCTTTACATCCATGATTTTGGTCCCGTACTCCTTAGACCAGCTCAGAACTCGTTCACTCCCAGGCGTCGCTTGTTCGCCGTCTTTCGTCCTTTGTCAGTGGATGTCCCTTGAATCCGCCGGCATCAGTCTGAGAAACTACAGCATTCCAGTACGGATCTACCGCAGTCATCATTTGCCACTGATTGGTGATTCTTCGAAGACCATGTAATGATCCACACGCCTGTCAAATTCATCCCTTCACCGTCGTCATCGCAGCCTGCCGCGAAGGCCACACATTGCCACCGAGCACGGGCGACCATTAGCATAAGCTGGCCAGATACCATCAGGGCCCTGAGGACTGTTCGGTGACTTGCAGGGGGCGGATGGCGACTTCCTGGCCCCCGATGACGAACGCCAACAGCGTCAGCGTCGTGTGACGACGACAGGACAGAGCTGTCGGGATTACTCCCCGTCAGATCCGCACCGGGAGCACGGCTAGCACGGCCAGGATCTCGTCGTAATTTGCAGAACAGAAAGACGAGGCCTTATATAGCATGACACGTTTGAAATGTGCACGCCGTCAGCGAGTGTGGTATACGCCCTGGGTTTTCAGCACGCTATCATCCGCTGTCATTTTTTACGGTTGCATTTACCTTTGTCTTGCCATTTGCCAGATGTCCAATGAGTGCCAACCATTATAGCTTTGAAACCTCTGTTATGCTTCGCCCAAAACCCCGCTTACATGGACAGATAGCTAACACACCCTCCGTAAACGCCATCCCCACATAAAAGTTGTGTGTGCATGTTCATCTCGGCCTCCAACAGCTTCCAGCGCGGATGACTGCGACCTCTGAAACTAATCTTCAATATCCTAACAGGCACCACTGCCTGATAATGCACCTGCCGCGCTCCTGTATCGATCGCTGCCCCTCTCACCCGCCGCATTTCTGCGTCAATCGGCACCTCTCACCTGCCGTACGTCTGTGCCAACTGGCGCCTCTCAGGCGCCGCACTCCAGTACCAATCGGTGCCTCTCAGCCGCCTCACTCCTGTACCAATCGGCCTCTTTCACGCCCCGCACTCCTGCATCGATCGATGCCCCCCCCCCCCCCCCCCCCCCCCCCGCCGCGCGCGCGGGCGGGGCGGACCCACCTTCGACGCAGACGGCTCCTTTGGGCGTATCCTGGCAGGTGTAGCCGGCCGTGCGGCAGAGGGAGTGCCCGATGGACGCGCAGTCGGTGCGCACTGAAACGTGTCGGAGGCGGTCACGGCGGGCTTGTGACGGTGGACGGAGGGGAGGGGGGTCGCGGCCGGCTCACACGACAGGCCGGGCCAGGCCGCGGCGCGGTGCGGACTTGGTAAGGGGCAGGGGTTGCTGGAGTTACTCGGGTTAAGTGGGAGCATTGGAGCTGATTTTCGACAGGTAGAGCGTTTGAAGACATACACAGGAAAAAAACTGTTAGACCAAGCAAGACCAATATTCACACACAAGTCACTTTTCAGTGCAAACTTAGCATAATTAACGATATGTCATGAATAATAATTAGCATAATATTTGACACTATCATGAATAGATAAGGCAAAAAAGTAGTAGTTCATAAGGATGCACCAGCTTTCACCATACGCGTGGCCTCGGTAAATGTCACGATGGAGCCGTATCCATGACGCCCATCGGTTCCAAAGAGGCTTAAAAGCTTGGCATGGTCTAGTCCTACCATTGCACAATAAGGTAAGCAAAGTTCAAAACGGTTTCGGTGGGGCTTTAAGGCGAACTCAGTTGCTGAGGCTCTCTGGCGTCTCACCCTGGCAGGAAGGACAGGCGTCGAGGAGAATCGGACGCACACCTTTAGTCTACCACACGGGCAGCTGAACCACTGCACAACCGGCGACACTCCTCTTCAGTCTACCGCAACACTGTCATCCACAACATCGGCTCGGTATACTTACAGAACAAGGGCCTCACGCACTGAATTCTCGCCTTCGGCCAAGATCAAAGACGTGACTGACGCCGACCGTGGCGTCTTCCTGTTTAGAAGGCAGCCAATCCCCACTGGTCGGAAGTCTCGCCCTCCCCCTCCCCTCCCCCCGTTCCTCCCGTCCAGAAGCCGTATCGCGGCACGCTTCCTGAACGTCGCATCGCCCCGAACCACATGGCTGCACGCTTCGTCTCTTGTCACGCGCATGACTGCATACCTGCCTCCTCACGCCCGGCGCAAAAACGGCACGCAGCGTACTCCAGCCGCCGTGAGCTGCGCTGGGACGCCACCGGAACCGTCCCTTCGCGTCACGACGGGCCAGCTGTCAGCAAGGCCGCGCGGCCAGCGCGCGTGACAGCAAACAGGCCTGCCGTCCAGCCGGGCGGCCGGCGCAGACGGAAGTTGTTTGGCGGCCCGCTTCGCGAGCGGTTCAGACACGCGAGGCATTCGGCAGCAGCACGCGTTGTCCGGCGCAGATCGCGGGCGTGCGTGCCGCGGGCGGCCGGCGGTGCGAAGCAGGAGATCGGGACCCACGGAGCAGTAGCTCAGGGCCCGCGCAGCAGGGGCACGGGACTCGCGGAGTAGGAGCTCGGGGCCCGCGGAGCAGGGGCTCGGGACCCGCAGGGCAGGGGCACGGGGCCCGCGGAGCAGGGGCACGAGGCCCGTGGAGCAGGGGCTGAGCACTAGCTCAGGGCCCGCGTAACAGGGGCACGGGACTCGCGGAGTAGGGGCTCGGGATCCGCAGAGCAGGGGCACGAGGCCCGCGGAGCAGGGGCACGAGGAGCAGGGGTTCGGGACCGATGGAGAGGCAGCTCAGGGCTTGGGTCCCGTGAAGTAGCAGTTCGTGGCCCGCGGAGCAGGGGCTCGGGACACGTGGAAATCACACCGGCTGGAGGTGACGATCTGTGGTTTTGGAGAATCGGGAGATGCCCGAGATGTGAAGTGACAGGTGACAGGTGACAGGTGACAGGTGACAGGTGACAGGTGAGGTGTCGAGAAGACAGCCTGGTTCGGCAACAACGGACGAGCTATCTTCAGGATTAATGGAATTTTATTTACTGTCGGCTGATGTCATAGGCGATTTTACCTGTGCCTAACTTTCTTATCTCCTCCGCCCACACATCTGCCCGCCTTGTCATCGATACCGCTAACCTTCAAAGCAGGCTTGGCAAGGATATAACCGTATAATCTGCGGGCGATGATGCAATATCGGTCAAGCTTGTTATCTGCTCACACCACAAAAATGAAACTCGTACGGATAATGGCATTGAACAGTGCTTTCGTTCTGAAAAAAATTTCAGTCAGCATTGCACTGTGCATGTTGCAACCTTGGCCATGACGTGCAGGCGATTAAACATGGCATGTGCAAGCCGCAAAAGGACAATTTCATCCGCCTGAGGAGATCGTAAAAACTGCCGTGCCCACACTATGATGAAGCATATCACGACTGCTCCAAATGCACCACTTTTCATCCCCAAAGCTCTAGGCTGAAAACGACCGCTGCGCGGAACTGCGGTTCCTAGTGGAGGTGGGGAATAGGGGGGAGGGGGAGTAAACGACATTTAGTCCTGTTCTTTTCATGTAGCGACTTGGACTTAATGCTATTTCTTTCCAGACGTGCGACTGATGCTCCCGCTCCCCAGCCGTCTTCCCCGCTGGCGCCGTGCCTGTCCTTTGCGGACGAGTTTGGGCACTCACGTGGTTTGACGCACTTCCTCACGCAGCCTGCTGTACAGCAGATGTTCCCTCCCTCGCAGTCGTCGTCCCCTTCACAGAGGACCCGCGGCGTCTTGCAGGGACGCAGCGCCGTCGCGATGAGAGGACAGTGGCCCACCTTGGTGTGCGCTGCGCCAGAGGCCACAGGTCAAGGTGGGGTCAGCGGGCTGCCGCGGACCCGCTGGGGTCACGGGTCACGGGTGATTGGAGACGATGGACCGCCGGCACTCCTGCAACACCGCTCTGCGGGTGTGAGGTGTCTCGGCGAGGCAGGGGCGGGCTTAGCTGACGTCACCAGGGGTGAGAGATGCCAAATTGGCAGTGCATAAAACGCTGAGGAGCTCCGGCTCAGGCCTCATTCCGTTCGCCGTGTTGCTTTGCGTTGTGGAGACTGACGTTTGGGAGTTTTCTTGAGCGCACACTTTTTAACATGCGGTATGCGATTACACTTTAAGAAGCCAGCCTTACTTGGTGTGACCCTGGTTCGACACAAGATTTAGAGAAGGCCTTGAGCACTGGTTGATGCTTCACCAATTAAGCTTCCAATTAAGAAGTCGAAGCTTCACAGAGGCGCCTACAGTTTTGTGTTCGATACGGGTCAAATGACAACACTGATTTAGATATATCCAGGGTGGAAAGGAAATGTGTATATATATATACATAAATATTTGATTCATATGTCAGGGTATATCTAAGTCGCAGAAAAGCAGGTCATGGTTATATCGCCTATAGTATGATAACGTCGAGTACGCGGCGCGCTGAGCTGCAAGTTCAGTGCTGATTCTCGTGTCGCTGGTTAGCATAACAGGCTCACATGTGTTGGTTAGCAATTTGCTAAGTGGGTTACCCAGTCCGGTCGGCACTTGAACGAATTATGGCCACGGAGGACGAAGAGTGGCACGAATGCACAATACCGGCCCGATGTCATGGTCATGGCTACTTACGAACGCAAATAGCCCTGTCGTGTCTTTGAAGACAGCTGGCTTTTTCGCCGCACACAACGTCTTGGCACGTCGAAATTGGCTCTGCGGGAATTTCAAAACTGCGTTAGGGGACATGATTGAAAACGATGTTTAAATGATTGCATACAATTTACCATCAATGACAGCATTCGTTGCATCTGAAAGATAGTACTCGGAGCATAAAGTACCTAGTGTTATCATGACGTCTGACTTGGTTAAGCGCCGTGTAACATCACACTAAGGCATTCATTGGCTTTGATTTTAAAGCGTGCAGATAGTCCGCTACAGCCTGTACCGCCAAAAGCCCTTCGAGCCACACCAGTGACGTCAGAGCACCTCACAAACGGCACGCGGGTCAAGGCGAGGCCACTGGGCGTACTCACTGTTGACGCACTCTGGACCATGATCCGTGTCGACGCAGTAATATCCGCGCTTCGTGCAGCGCACATTGCGACAGGTGGTGCGGTACTCGGCTGAAACAGACGCCGCCGTCGGCCCGTCAGCGCCGGCGTGACCCCGATGACGGCCGTGGTGCGGCCGTGTCCGCGCGGCTTTGTCTTGGTGTCAATGTGAGAAATGTGGAGGGTGGGCGGCTACAGATCAAGAACATCTTCCAAGAAATTGGCCCGACCGCGAGGCGTCGAGGCCGCCGTGTGGGATGATCCGAATCTCTGTTTTTAAGTGCAATGGTAGTGCACCCTTTTTGTGGTGACATTTTTTGCTATATTTAATTCATTTATAAGAAATAGCATGACTGCATAGCAGTAACGAAATCAGGTGAGACCTGAACTTCTGGACACGCATTGCCAAGGGTTGTGAGATGCTGACACCTCAGTGTCAATAGCGAATGAAGCTGCCAGATGGCGTTTTGTAAACTTTGCCTGGTAACTGTAAGAGATGACATGCGCACATGCACTTGGCATTTTTGAAAAAACTTCGACATCATTGATGCACGGATTGCGTGACATGTGTTATTTACCGTTGCCGGCAGATCTTTTGTCCTGTCCTCGCTTGTGGTGGTGAGTGAGATAAAAGCTGGTGTTTTGGTCCAATCGTCTAAAGTTTTATATTTAGATTGAAATTTCAGATTTGAAATTAAAGGTTTTAAGATTTAGGGGGACTAGAGGAGAGTCAATCGGGGAAGACTAGAGCAGGGTCAGCCGAGCCACCTTACGAGCATACGGCAGGGAGCGCTGTTGTGACATCAGGCAATACTCCAGTCTGGCATCGATCCATATCGCGCTCAGATATGTTATTGTCGTCCTTGCAGAAAACTTTTTTCTTCTGTCCCATCTAAATCTGGCTTTTTAAGGAATCGAGGCAGGCAGGCTCTGCCTTGGCCTATCTGATAGAATAGCGTGAATAAAAAGTTTTACGAATATTACCAAAAATGACAAGAAAATAAGTATATTAACAAAAGAAGCAATAGAGCGGTTTGTAAACGAGTTATATAAAACAACAAGGGCTCGTCTCGTTACCAAGTGGGCATAAAGGCAACGCAACACAATATTGTTGTTGAATGAAATCGCAAAATCCGGGTTGTGAAAGAGGAAAGCCGATAAACGTCATCCAGCGTGTCAGGCATGAATGTCAGTTCAATTCGCATGAGACGCAGGAGGCCACACCGGTCCACACTATCATTTTGAGTGCCAGGGGTTATGAGACAGCCACTGGGGCTCAGGGACCGCCGGAGTCACCAAGGTCGAGCGGTGCGTTTAATTTTTTTCCGGCCCCGCAGAAACGCCGGTGTTTTTGTGTGAAACGGTGGGGTGCCGGGGTGTCGCGTAGTTTGCACTGACTGCATCGAGAGTGGCGGAGCTCCTGGAGGGCCAGGGTGGGGCGCGCGGTAGGTACGGTAGAAATGGACAGGTGTTAGTGGAGACAAGTAAGGTTATATGCTAAGCATATATCTACATACAGGCTACAAATAGGTATGTAAACATCTTTTTATGAAGAAACGCAAGTAAGAAACCCCTACGAACTTAACCGATGGTAGGACCGCAAGGCAAACACATGACACAGCTATTCTGCGAAGAGGCTTCTGAAATGACATCAGACCAAATGTCCAGCAAATAATACTTACTCGGTTGGGTACAGCCCTGGTCTCCCTTGTTATTTCCACAACACTTCAGGTTTTGCGAACATTGATGATCGTTCTTGCAGAAGATGCCTTCGGCCAACGTCAGCTGCTCTGGATTGGGGCACAGGCCAGGCTTTTCATCGACTGCAAACAAGGCATAATGATCAGCGCACTCCTTCAGACCAGTACGATCCTGCCATCCAGTCCCGCCGTCCATCGCTAAAATGTGTGTCACGTTCCGCAGCACAGCGTAGCGACAGCTAACACCAAGGTGCTCGTTTAGCCCAAGACATCTACATTCACTCGTTTTTGAAGCCGGTAGCGTGACGCGCGTCGTCACGCGCTCTTTTGCAGAGCGTCAGCACTGTAGTGTCCATATTAGCGTTCAGGGCCCATGGCGCAGGGGGATTCGGAACGGGACCACTCATGTGGTAGCCGAAGAACCGGGGCCACCCATGTGGGAGCCGGAGAACTGCGGCTACTCATGTGGGAGCCGGAGAATTGGGGCCACCCATATGGGAGCCGAAGAACCGGGGTCACCCAAGTGGGAGCCGAAGAACCGGGGCCACCCATGTGGGAGCCGAAGAACCGGGGCCACCCATGTGGGAGCCGAAGAACCGGGACCACTCATGTGAGAGCCGAAGAATCGGAGCTACCCTTATGGGAGCCGGTCATCAACTATCGGTCATTGCGCTCCTCTGCGGGCTGTCCCTGCCGGTGATGACGCCTGGGTCCTGGTATCCCATCAATTTAGCCTGGGTGGAGTCTGGTCACGTGGCTGACATGGCTCGGGCTGATTATAGCGCTGACCGACCGCACCGTTCCCGCTGACGGATGCGGTGTGGTGGGTCGGCGCACAGCTGAGGAGTCTGGATGTCGGGCCCCGTCGCCGTCACATTCAGGCAAGCCGTGGACCTTCACCTGGCTATTGATATGGAACGGAATCTTTGCCTTTTGCGATATGTTCGTGCAACATTCGAATGTGGCCGCTTTTAAAACCACGAAAAATCAATTTGGGATGAACTAGAAAGGAAAATTACAAATGCAGATATCGAGGATCGCCCGGGTGCTTACCAGATGATAGATATTGTACAAAGCTAAGTTACTTTCAACACGAGTGCAGTCAAAGGGAGTGCTCTCACCCCACCCCCTTTTTAGACTCGCATTGTACCCAATTTTTTCATCATTGATCCTTCGGACAAAAAGTTTAAGGACAGTGTGGTGCGTTCTTACCAAGCTCCACCCGCAGCCTTCATCCCCATTAGGAAAATCCTGGCTGCATCCCTGCCTTCCTATTTGAAGTTATGGTTTTGTCAATAAAATAGAGCTCCCACGGCTACACTGGCCAGCAATGTCAAAAAGTAAACTTTGAAGCAAATGGTGTGAAGCATTCATACTTACGGCATTGGTGTTCAAGACATACCAAGACTCTTATCTTACAACGGTTTGCGTCTTTCAGAAAATAGGTCAAGGTGTTCTAAAGCGACGACGTTTGCGAAAGATGTTCATGTCGCAGCGGTGCTGAGCCATGGTGAGAAAAAAGTAGATTCAACCAGGCGATTCTTGACGTGTTACCGTCGGTACATCAGTGTTAAACGTCGGATGTAAGTCTATACGTTTGTCACGACTCTCCTTATCCAAAGACAGGTAATAGCACACCATACCTGTGTGTGATTACTTGAAGCTCCATTAAGCTTACTAAGCGTATCGTCCTCACATCACATTAACGTCACTGTCGTGGGAGGAGAAGCAGACAGCGGTCGGTGCCGGCTGCCTAGACCGCGAATCAGACTGATGGGCGCGGGGCCAAGTAAGGGCGTCAATTCCGACAGACCCGAGCCCCGCCAGCGGAGGCGTGTGGAGGCGCGGGCCGTGGGGTGACGGAGCGTATGTGCTCAGTGCAGAAGCCTTGCGGACGCGTGGAGTTCATTGGGTCTGTGCGTGATGGGCGGGTTACTTTGGAGGCAGATCAAATCCAATTAAGACATGAAGTTTTTGTAGCGCGATTATGGTGCACAGGAAGAGCAGGTGAGATGTGAAAGAAATCTGACCAGCGACTCACTGAGAAACAGAGACGTGTTTTGTGTCGGAGAGAGCGACAAACTGTTCACTTCTCAGTACAAGCGCAGAGTGTTGGGACAAAAGCCAGTGCATGCGAACTGACTAGTAACCAATGCTGGAAAAACTTCTAACCATTTACACCGCACCCATCAGGTCTTGCGGGACAAATGTGCAGCTCCGAGTGTCTATTACCAAGAATGGAATGTGATCGCAAGGCAAATGCCTTGACTAAGGAGGCTTAAGTGCTACTGCAGACAGAAGTCCTTGACAATTAAAGCTCACATTTTTTTCATCGGCATTTCATCAGCTGTAAGCTGATTAAAACAACACCCTGATAAATCATTTTGTGCTGCTTTGAAGTGGCGCTTCTTTTGCATTTCCACGGAAGATATCCACAACTCTGCGGCACACATTACGGCTGTCTGTGAAGGCGAAGGCTCTAAGTCCTGTCGTCCAAGGCCGAACACAGCCGCGCTTCTTTCAAAAGCCTGCTTTTTCTTCGGTGGTGCTCCCTTCTAGAATCGGCCTGTCCGCAGGCCTGTCCCCGAAGCCGGACGGCAGGTCGTTTTGTGAACGGTATAAGATCTGATTTATATGCGTCGTTCAAGTTGCAACGGCAGTCACTAGCAGCCAATTCTGGCATATGTGACGTGGTAGGGTAATGTGGGAAGGATAGCTGCATCTACGAGCTTCCGGTAGATCCTACCAATAGACACAAATGCGGCTGTGATGCTAGTTGTGCTTTCACAAGGAAGACGTTGTCAGTGGCCTAAAAGCTCGCCACAATGCAGCCAGGTCTCCTCTGTTTGCTTGACTATGGAAACAAGGCGCCAAAGATAGCAGCTATCTTCCATGAATTGATATTTTACGACAGCATGTCTGCGACTTGCACTCTCAGCGAGCGCCATGTTTGCACTGAGTTGCGCCTTGTCGCTTACCCCGCAATAATCGCCGCGCTGCCAGCCAAATGCGGATTTTCCGGTTAGGCGATCACGTGGTGTTTGGCTCATGAATCGTAGGTATTTCGTCGCAGATCGAGATGGCATTGAATCACGCCAAGCAATGGAAACCAGTAGGAGACCAGTGCCCGGTGCAGTTCGGAGCACCAGAAGCCACTTATAATGTAAATAAAATGCTGACTGCCCCTGCGAGGAAACAGTGCATGCGTTGTGCGTGGATATGATAGCTTTGGCTTAGTCCTGCAAGAAATCCCTGCGGACTTCACCGTTGCATTTGTATAGGCTATAATTCCAGAAGCTGTCACGGAAATAGAGAATGGACAAACGAGAGACATAGAGCCGACAGCATAACCGAAAATCTCCTCCCGTGCAGCCATCGACGCAAACACAGCAGCCGCCCTGCCGCTGCCACTCGCCTGGCTCGGAGCACTTCTTGCCACAGGGTGAGTCGCAGCACTTCTGGCCAGCGCCGCAGTCCGAGCTCGTCATACACTGGTTGTCCCGGTAGAAGCAGTTCGGCGTGGACGTCACGGCCGGACAGAAGCCGGGCTCGTCTGCAAATGGGCCCGCCACTCGTCACCCAGCTGCTGCACGACTGATCGGGTGTTGTGCAAAAGTGTTACGCGCAAGTGCATGCTTTGAATACGTCCTTGCCACTGCAGCCCAACGCGTGGTCCTGCATGAAAAATTCATGGGAGCTGTCGCATGCATGCCTCTCACACGCAGCACTTGGCATGCCTACGAGAGCCTCCATCCCCCCCCCCCCCCCCGTCGCACCTTTCCCATAAATCGCTCGATTTCTGGCTGTACCCCGGTCTGGGCAAGACCTTCTGAGACGTCGCAGGTTTACCGACCAGTGTCCTGACCTGGCAGGTCCTGATCGCAGCTTCACCGACCTGCGTCTTGCCCTGATAGATCCTGACCGCGAGTCCACTGACCTGCGTCCTGACCTGGCAGGTCCTGATTGCAGGTTCACCGACCTACGTCCTGACCGAACAGGTCCTGACCGCAGGTTCACTAACCTGCGTCCTGACCTGTCAGGTCCCGACCGCTGGCCCACTAACCTGCCACCTTGCACATCTTGCCGCAGCCGGTGAGGCAGCACTTGGAGCTCCGCGGGCAGTCGGAGTCGGTGGCGCAGAAGTCGCCGCACCTGTCGTGGCCCTCTGCCGCTGGGCAGATGCCCGGCCGGTCCTCCGCTGCCGAGGAGCGCGCCGTGTTACTGCTGCAGTGCGGCCCGGAGCCGGAACTTCGTCCCACAATACGTCCTTATGATCGTGCGCAGCGGCGTATTCATAATGTAAGAGAGTTTGCTGCGGCAGCTTAACCGGCCTCAAGCAGAGGGTCAATGTATGTTTAAATCAACGATTAAAACAGCGCCATTTCCGTAGTTTCCACCGCTTTGAAGAGGGCTTGCTAGGGAAAATTTCCTTCTCTTAATCCACGCGGTACCCATGAGACTTTGCCCACACCCATCTGCTGCCCATTCGTAGTTGGTTGTACCCACCTGTTGCCAACCCGTTGGCATTTCTAAGCACTTGAGGTCTAAACTATAGAAGAAATTTAGAAACACCTACAGCTACGTTTATTTATTTGCCTTGATAGTTGCAAAAGTGATGTCAACATATGTAATTATGACTGGAATAAGGCCAAGCAGTAACTGTGTGTGCGATTGCTTCAGGCATCAACAAAAGCTCCGTTGATGCATGTGTAAATCAACAATTTTGCATGAGCTTATCATGCAGAAATATCGCGAACTGTTTCGCGCGTCAATAGCTCCGTACCATCCCTAGCATGTACACATGGCATTGTCATACGTCATGAGCCAGACAACCAGTGACAATATGAGAGGGCGATTCAGAAATCATGAGATCATGGAACCATGCACTCAGGATTTTGCAGTGTTATCAAATAAGTGCCGTTACATGTCAGCCGAGTAAACCCGACCTGTAGACGACGCCAGGCATAAACTGATGGTTGTCTGCATGCCTCATATACGGCCTTGGAGGCCCTTCAAGGTTTCTCTTTATCCCAGCCGCGGTCTGCTACCACGTAAGTACCCAGCCGTGGCAAGAGCTGCGCCTATCTGCCCGCTGGCCCGGTCTCTGCAGACCTTGGGAAAGCCGATAATCATCGAAATCTTTCACTTGTTATACTTTCAAGGTTGGTCTTACAAACTGCGTCGTAGCAACCAGAGGCATATGCAAAATTGGAATATGAGTTAGCACGGAAAAATTATTATGGCGTGTCAAGGCATGTATATTGGCACTGGGTTGGAAGTTGCTACCCGTCATTTTATTTGCGGTGCCAGCGAGGGTCTGTTATTAAGGCAGTGTTGGCAGGAGAATATTGTCACTTTGTTCTCCCGCCTAACATTTTACCGATGTTATGAAAGGAATGTCTTCCATGCTTGGATGCCACATTATCAAAAGTCATAACTGCATAGGTTTTTTATCCGTGATGCAGGGAGCTACCGAAAAAGTTCGTTGGAAGTCGCTCCACAGTGCAACACTACATCTTGTAAGCCTTTCACTGACGTCAGCTAGCCCCGGCTGAAGATGGCCTTTCCAGGATGTTCGCGGTAGCACACGTGCACCGTGCCGTTTCGGCGGTCGTCATGGGTCGGCTCAATACATAAGCCCTGCATGCAGATGGCTCCCGCAAAGCTTAGGCAGTGCTCGGCCTGCTTTCAAAACCGCTGTGGTGAAGTCTTGAGAGCCACGATATTTCAAAAACTTTTGTTGCTGGGTAGGAACAAAAAGGTGAGTGGAAAGCCTTGTCGCGAAAAGCTTATGTAATGTTTTGTCTTTAAATATAAGTCGATCGTTGTGTTAAGCAAGGTCATAATATGTGACAAAGTGATGCAACTTATTTCTCCTTTGTAATGAACCCCTTCAGACATTTTGCTGTTTTAAGTTGTCTGGGGAAATGACACCATGTTTCCACACAGTGCATTCTAAATGGTGTGTAGGTGCGTTTTCGGGTTATGAGAACTTATTCAACAAGGCTTGCTGCATTTACCTCGAACCCACCACCCAAGTTGTGACGCCCCGTTCAATGGATAATCTTACGTCCGCGCTACTGCCAGACAGGACAGCGGAGATTTGCACGTACCGCGCCATACTGCAGTACGACCACCTCGGGCCGGGGTTGGCCGTCGTTGGTCGTTGGTCAGCTGACTTGCCTATTGTCCATTTCAGTCGATCCTACGCACTGCGTTCTCTCTCCGGCATTCGTGGCCACACCCCAAATTCGTGCTTATTTTATTTCATGACGATACCAGAAGCCACGTCAGGTTAGATCAGAGCAGCCTCAGGATCAAAACATCGAACAGGCTGTTAGGGGACGATGTGTGTCGGTGTGGCCTCAGATTTTTTTCCTTTGCTTCTTTACTTTAGTTGACATAATTTATGAGTGGATTCACGCACGTCACAGAGTGTTAGGTAATATATAAATTATGCCATGCCTAGCAAATTTATTGAACACTTTCAGTCCTGAGTCAAAATGTCTCAGCCAAAGAACGTAACCGACACGATTTACGGGTCAAAGCAGGCCGGAGGTCGGGTCGGGATGTCATGGGTCATGTCAGATTGAAACTATACGCAAATCCACGTCTGGATAAGAGGGAGGTATTTTAAGGGGCAGCACTGAACAGACACGCAGAGAATTTGCGAGAATGGAATCAGTACACTTCTGTGCCATGATCTCAGTTTACAAAGGCCCACCAGACGAAAGTTCGGATAGACCGCAGTTCAGCTGTGACACATTCCAGACATCTATGAAGGAAAAATCTCAAAACGTGCTTGAAAGTGTCAGAGCTAATAGAGGCGGAAGTCGATGGTTGTTTGGCGGAAAAAAACATTATGATTTTGCATATATCCACATCAGACTTGTGCTTGCTTACCTGGAGGTGCGCAGATTGGTCCGCATCCGGTGATGTCGCAGCATTTCGAGTCTCTTGGGCAGTCGTCGTCGCCGTAACATTTGGGACCGCAGCTTCGACCCCTCAGTTTGGAGTGCAGCGCCTTGTTAGGGCAGAAGCCAGGCTTCTCTGCAGCGAAACGGGTGATCGCTGATCAGGAATGCACGATAAGTGGCTCGTGCGTGGCGCTGAAAATCTCATTTGTTTCTGATTTAAGCTGATTAAATTCAATCATCCTTAAGGCGAGTAGCCATACACACGGGGCTCTGGCGCACGGTGCCATGAAAACTTGACTTTCAGTTACAGTTAAAAAGAAAAATAGCGAGCTAAATAGCTATAGAAAACAAAAGCACATTCCAAAATCCAAATACCAAGCTTATTTCAAACTGCCATGTTTATAGACGCCTCACGTTTATTAGATAAGATCCGGTGCCTGTATGAAGAGTGGCATTACGTGAATAACAGCATTGATCTCACCGTCTTAGAGCGACGGGGAGCCGCTCCTGCGTTCACCTGATAATCACGGTTCAGCGGGCTGGCGCGATGGAAAGACCAGGCACTGTTCTCCTATCCAGAGGCAATCAGTCACTACCGATTTTGTGTATTGCAATAAGTTTTTGGCTGAACTTGAAGTCATTCCGAAACCATGACTTTTCCCGTGCTTTGACCGGATTTGTTGCGGGCTGTAATAAGCAGTGTCAGTGAGATGGTTTGTTGACCATAGCCCATCCTGAGGCATAAAAGATTGTCTCGTGATTATCCATTTTGATGTAGATAATCTGGTAATGTATTGGGCCTGTAGCACTTTCAAGATTTCAAGGCGACCATGGCTCGACATTGTTCCTAGCCAATTCCCAGAAGAATTGCGTGGCGGAGCGTAAAGCCCAATGTCTTGTATCCACAAGGCCGCTTTTACAGAATGCAGATTACAGAACAGAAGAAGCTCACGGTATCTAGGTTTCTTCCAGCTGGTCAAAAACACCTGTGGGGCTTAAATACCGCTCAGATGAACTGAAGGTTCTTTTTCAGACTGGATGGTGAAACTGGTTAGCCTTCCTCCGCTTCGTTTTTTCGTATATCACATAAAAATTGCAGATAAGCGCCTCTAACCACCAAACAAGCCTACCTGATGTCCAAGCGGGCTTCGTGCAAGTTGCGTTTTGACACATTCTCCCGCGTGATATTCGCATCAACAACTCCATCTACCCGGCGATTACCAAGCGTTTGTGTAGTTCTCCCCTCCACTGAGTTGGTTCAGGAAAGCTTTCGCTTGATCGTCCATGGTATGATGTGTTCCAGTTCCACGTGTCCACCAAGCTGGCCACGTGAGGTGCCCGGACTTACCCTCGGTGCAGATGTTCGTCTCGCATCACACGGGCTCGTCCTCGCGGCACATGAGATGCACGGACTTACCCTCGGTGCAGATGTTCGTCTCGCATCACACGGGCTCGTCCTCGCGGCACATGAGGTGCACGGACTTACCCTCGGTGCAGATGTTCGTCTCGCACCACACGGGCTCGTCCTCGCGGCACATGAGATGCACGGACTTACCCTCGGTGCAGATGTTCGTCTCGCATCACACGGGCTCGTCCTCGCGACACATGAAGTGCACGGACTTACCCTCGGTGCAGATGTTAGCCTCGCACCACACGGGCTCGTCCTCGCGGCACATGAGATGCGCGGACTCACCCTCGGTACAGATGTTGGTCTCGCACCGCACGGGCTCGTCCTCGCCGCCACACGTGCACTTGTTGCACTTGTTGTAGAATGTGGTGCCCTTAGGACAGATGTGCTCGCTGGAAGGCGCCCTGCACGAGCGGCCGCAGCCGTTGGAGCAACACTTCTCCGCATCCGGGCACTCGTCGTCCAGGCTACATTCGACGGCGCAGCTGGCCCTCTTGCCGCTTGGCGCCGGGCACGACCCCGGCTTGGACAGGTCTGAAGGCAACGCGTCCAGGAAGGTCAGCACTCGGTACAGGTCTCGGCCATTGTGACGCGCCATGCCACGCAAAATGGCCGTGTCGCTTGTCGTGTCGCAACGTGCATCAAGATCATCAAGATCACCATCAAGACCCTGTGACATGGAAGTCGCGACACGGCAGGTGGTGGGCGCTGAACTCGCGATGCTGTCTTCACGAGAGGGGGCTCTGTCGCGCCAGCAAGAGCCGGGCCAGGCCAGTATAAGGGAAGTGTCGGGGACGCAAGCCGGCCTGAGCCTGGCCGAAAGCGGGCCGCCAGCGGTATCAGGCCGTGAGGTAGATCAAGCCTGAGCAGGCCAGAATGCGGATAGACCAGTGGGACGGGGATGGGATGGACGGAAGTGACGTCAGAAGGCGACGGTGTGAACCTGAATGGATGCGGCAGGCAACCCGCGGGGCGAACTAACGTGCACGTGGAGACCCTCAGTCGCGTTGGATGATAAAGCCTCGGGTCTTTGTTTTCGTTTTCTGCGGCATTCATTTCGGGTGGATGGTGAGGTTCAACGATGTTCTGCTCAGGGTAATCCAGAGTTCTGGGGTGGATGTGTGAGATAACAAAGAGAGCTTTGGTATTAGACTTGGAACATTATCACATCCCAGCGTCGGCGCGTGCGCCTGAGGTGTTCACTGTTGAAACCTGTATGTTGTCCAACAAAAAATTGCGCTTCTTATCAATATTTTGGTTATCTTTCCGCGAGACCGAGATTCCATCACGTTTAAGCATTCGTCAACACGATATTCGTGTCAATATTGTGACAACTTCTACTCCACAATGTTTGTAAACAGGCCCAGGTTCTTATTTCCGCGTAGCCTGCCAGCTTCTCGACCCAGTATCAGATAACCGGGGTTGCATACCCTATCCTCCACCTATGGTGCAACTAATCTTCATCAACGATCGTATTATTGAACGAATGTTGAGATGCCGCGTCACTCTCTGCTAGGAAATTGGAAAATGACTTCCTAGAAAACAGCAAAACAACAAGCAGACGTGAGGCTTAGCTAGCCCGCATCTGTGTCGTTAGCAGACTACCCATCGCTGATGTTCCATGTTTTTAAGTAAAGCTTTCCTTTAGAGCCTCAACCGCATAGACATTCATGTTTTTACTGCACGGTTGGAAGGACGATGGGCTGGACTTTCCAAAAGGAAAACGTTTAGACTTGCAATTAAACGCAGCACACGTTAACGAGGATCACGAAAGCGCAATTACGCGACCGTAAATTGATGGTAATCTGGCGGAGTAATGCGCTTAATTACGTATTGGACTGCTCATTAAGATGCATGGATTTCAAGATTCTCACATTTTTGGGTCAAGGCAGACATTCAACCTGTATTGATTTTCTGAGCAGGTCCTTGGGGTGAAGATTAAGCCACCGCTAGTTCTGGGATGCATCGATAAAATCGTGACATAATGGCTGTCATCGACGGCATCAATAGAATCTGCAGGTTGGGGTTCTGTGTGACGTAGTGAAAAGCTGTACACTCCCTGTAATGAAAAGAACGGCGATCTCTCGAAAGGTATTGACTGGTAGCTAACTGGTACAGTAAAAACGGTGAGCTACACGCTTCGGGAGACCTCTAGCAGGAATTCGAGATATATGAGTGCGTGCGTGCGCGCGTGCTTACATGCCTGCGTGCGTGCATGCGCACGCAGGCACGTTAGCACGCACTTACTTAGGCACCTGAGCACGCACTTGCACACACGCACTTACTCCGCACTTACTCATGCGCGTATGCACGCACGTGAGTAAGTGCGTGTGTGCAAGTGTACCAGCGTGTGTGTGCGTGCGTTTATGTGTGTGTGTGTGTGTGTGTGTGTGTGTGTGTGTGTGTGTGTGTGTGTGTGTGTGTGTGTGTGGGTGTGGTGTGTGGTGTGGGTGGGTGGGTGGGTGTGGTGTGGGTGTGGGTGGGGTGTGGGTGTGGGTGTGGGGTGTGGGTGTGGGTGTGGGGTGGGTGCGTGTGTGTGTGTGTGTGTGTGTGTGTGTGTGTGTGTGTGTGTGTGTGTGTGTGTGTGTGTGTGTGTGGTGTGTGTGTGGTGGTGGTGGGTGTGTGTGGGTGTGGTGTGGGTGTGTGTGTGTGGTGTGTGGGTGTGTGTGTGGTGTGTGTGTGTGGGTGTGTGTGTGCGCGCGCGCGCGTGTGTGGGTGTGGGTGTGGGTGTGGGTGTGGATGTGTGGGGGGGTGTGGGGGTGTGTGGGGGTGCGTGTGTACCGAAAAAAGGATGTAGCTGACAGGTATATGGACGGCGCTTGCAATGAGCCGTAGCCGGCTGAGCGGAGGGGGCGAATAATGTAACCAAGAGCCGGCTGCAGCTTCAAAGGTGGGATGAGGCTTTCGTAACGACACAGTCACGCCAGTGGCCGACACCGCTGCAGGTATATTCATGCGACTGCCCAGAGGTCCGGTATTAACGGGTCCGGGAGCTCGCCGCACGACCGGCCACTCAGCCGTGACGCGTGCAGCTGCCTGACTTTCAGTGTCATGGGAACCCGCCTGGAGGAGGCTCTATACTGGGACAGCTGGGAATCTGCACAGGATAATACCCTGAAGCTACTGCAGGTGATGTCACGCTTGTGGGGTCTTAGTGAGGGGAACTATATTGTGGTGGCGAGTCGTGGCCCTTGCCTCCTCTTCCCCATTCATGCGTGGAAAAGGATTAAAATCGTTCATTCAATGTTGTACGGTACGCAATTAGCACAAAACATCGCCCATCCCCTTCCTGCCCTCACGTCACGTTTTGCAAGCTCCTGCGCGTCTGGATGCACCCCTGCTCGCAGCTGGGGAGCTTCAACACACTGCGAGGCGAGGCGACCTCGGGTCACTTCTTACGAGATCAGTCGCGAAGGACGGCCGGCAGGTGTCATGATATCAGGGCAGGTCGTCATCATAACGCTTCTCACAGAGCCACCCACAATAAACATCAGGTTCGGAAGATGGTTGGACTCACAGGGAGTGGAGCAGACGGAGCCGCAGCCGGTGTCACAGCACTTGTTGGCGCCAGGACACTCGCCGTCCTCGGAGCATTCCTTGGTGCAGGGGCCGAAGGCGAAGCGGGCGGGACAGTGTCCCGGCTTCGGCACGTCTTCGCCTGTAACGAGAGCGCGTCCTGTGAGCACGCCATCATCCTGCTGTAGTTCTGAGAGGTCTAAGTCACGTGGACTTGGAGATCTACTTTAGAACATAGCTTAAGCTTTCATGTCAGGCAAGTTGTCTAGCATTCCGAAAACTTGTAACAAAAAAGCAATGCTAAAATGTCCGCAGGGCGGCAGATGATAGGGGGTATTAAAGGGATTAGCATCCACCAGGCGCAGGGAACCAACTATAGCATCTCCCCGCGGTTGGAGCGAAGGGGCGGGATGAGCTACGGCAGCGTCTAGCACCGACCAGTAGCTCACCCCGCTCACCACCGGAGGCAAGGAGCTTGGCCTAGCTTCGGCAGGGTTTACCCATGACCGACCGCGACTCTCTCCCTCGTTTTGACGCAGGTGTGACCTGGCCGCGGCCGCCAGGCGGCCTTGCAGTCCGCTCCAGCGTCCTTGCGGGCTCATTAGCAGCGCCTCTAACGGGACTCATCAGCTGCAGCCCCGCCGTCCGCTGGTCCGCTGCACGACCGCAGCCCAGCGGGGCCGACTGGCGTCCCCGCCGGAGACGGATTACAGGCGCCGAGTGTGGGCGCCCACCACAGATGTTGACGTGGATTAGATCTGGCGGATTGGCCTGTGCACCATTCAGCTGCCAATGCATTTGGGAGCTTGCCAACATTTTTGTGGCGTGACTGCGATTCAGCCGTTGATAACATAATTTGAAGGCAATCAGGTTGATTTAGTTGGAAGGACATATAATTATCTGAACCACCGGAAAATGAACAGACTGGTCGTGCAGGGCTGCAAAGCGGTTGCAGAAAAACAATATTTAACTTTGTTACCAACAGACTAAATAGTTGGTTTCCAATATTGGTTGCCAACGGGCTTTACCATTCAAAAACAGTTACCAACAGACTAAAGAGCAAGGACTGTAAATTATATGACCAAAATACGCATCACCTGCAGCCAGATAACTGCCGCCACCTGCTCCGAACGCTCACCGAAGTGGGTCTGACGCGCATCGGATTGTCAACGTCCTGAGATGTCCGCGTCGTTACGCTGGCTTTGTGCCAATCCATATTTGGGTAGGATCTGTTTGTCCGTGGCTGCCTGAGGTTTCCCACTGATGAGTTCTGATCCACCGCTTCCAGCGAAGACATGTGCTGCCGTGCCCGTCTAGTCTGGGCGCCAAATGACCACTGCAGTCGGCGCGCCCGAAAACACCACAAAACAACAACAGTGGCCATCTGTTCGATGCGGTGATTGCTTGGAATCATTTTTACCTGTGGTCTACTTTATTTGGCGGTCGTCAAAAACATAAATGCGGGAACTCCGGGAAGACAGGTGGTGTTGACTTTTCCCACGTGCCATCAGAGGTAACAGACATTTTATTTACTTTTTCGTTGGATCTTGCCGCCCCCTGCTCCTTTCTGCAGTACCTTTGTCATAAGCCACCGACGAGGCACGTGTGCCTGCATACCTTGGCTGACCGACTCCGTCCACGCCGAGGAGCGCCCGTGATGACGCCCCCCCACCTGCCTCAGGCCCGTCACGGTCCCATCACCTCTGACTCATCACGCCCCAAAGCCGGACCTCACGACACGGTGACGTGATGCCTTCACGAGCCGGGTCACCCTCCTCCGGCGCCCGCACCCCAGGGGGCTGGCGCCGTCTGCTGCTGACGCCATCTGGCGCCGGTTCCCACGCGTCTGATCGGGGGAGCTCCAGTCGGGATCGGGACACACCCGGCGCTTGGCCCGTCGGAGCCAGCCGGTCCCGGCGTGCCCGGCACCGGCGGCACGGCCTCAAGGTGGCCGCCCCGGCCAGGGGGTCACGTCTCCCTTTCTCGGGACCCGCCGCGCTTTGGCGCGTGATGACGGAGATGACCCGGGTGGGGCTCGGCTGGTCCAGCCTACCGGCGGAGCTCGGCTGTACGGGGAGTGTCTCGGCCCATGTTCAGACATACTCAGATGCTGCAGGGTCCAGAATATGGACTCACTTGTGGGTTCATATACAGATGTTCAGTGCTCTCGCCTTTCTACACATTTTACAGAACTATTGGGACGTCCGAAATCATCTTGGCAGGAAGACTGATCAGAGGAAAGAGGGGAGTGGAAGCTTGAATCGTAAGCCCGGTTGCACCTCCTTCGCCTGGTCGGACCCTGGTGTTACACCCGTATGTGTGCTATAGTCTCGTCCGTTCGATGGCATAGTGGAGACTGCTTTACTGTAGAAAAACAGACGGTGCCATGCGGCACAGTCGACAGCCAGGGTCGCCGTCCGCCTGGGCTGGTGGATGTGGTACTGTTCATGGTTGGCAATCCCAGTGAACGCCCTGTCCGATCAAAAGGTATCAGAATGTGGCATGCTTACAGAGCGTGCTCTCATGCACTACAATAACTGACCGCGTCAGCTGACCCAACGCCAGCATTCCAGAGCTCAGAGGTTGTAGTGCCACCAGGCGTGGCGCAACTTGTGGAAGACCACTGCGGTATCCATGAGCAGGTGATCATCTTGGATGCTGCTCTGGTTAAATTGGCACTTTGAGCGTGGGATCATGTGCACGCACAGACTTTGTCCCGGTAACTAAGCTCAATTTCCCAACGGATGTCCGAGGGACAAACATCTGTAGTTAACTACTGAACTCGCCAAGCTGTGCCCGTCACAAGAGCCGGAGGGGGCATGTAATAAGCTATTCCCGTCGTCAGCCTTTATCGAACACGTGTTCATGTTTATTGGCGACGGACTCATGCCGCCCAGTTCTCCGTTAAAATGTTGGGAGTGGATCACCGACGGGCATGTTTGCTAACCTGGATCGACGCAGATGCGGTCTCATTCGTCCAATCACCGACGGGCATGTTTGCTAACCTGGCTCGACGCGGACGCGGTCGCATTCATCCAATCACTGACGGGCATGTCTGCTAACCTGGCTCGACGCGGACGCGGTCACATTCATCCAATCACCGACGGGCATGTCTACTAACCTGGCTCGACGCAGACGCGGTCGCATTCATCCAATCACCGACAGACAATGATTGCTAAGTTGGCTCGACGCGGACGCGGTCACATGCATCCAATCACCGACGGGCATGTTTGCTAACCTGGCTCGACGCGGACGCGGTCACATTCGTCCAATCACCGATGGGCATTGTTTGCTAACCTGGATCGACGCAGACGCGGTCGCATTCGTCTTGGCAGCAGATCTGTTTGCCGGGACAGTCGGCGTCCTTCGTACAGATCATCTGGATCTCGGTGCAGTCGGCCAGCTGTGTGAACGGACATGTTCCCGACTTGGTCCTGCCTGCAACGTGGCAACAGGACGGAGTGAGCGCTGACCAGTTCCCTGGAAATCAGCAGCACGGGCCGAAAGAAAACCAGATATCCATGCGTTGGAAACGAGCAGTGCATTCAGCGCCTCGGTCGGCTGTAAAGATTCTCGTAGATTTCTGACTTGCTCGATAACGAACCAGCTCTGTCGCTTAGTGGGCGGCTGAGGCACCTATGCTTGCAGGGAGCGCCAGCAACATCCGGCATTGAAAAAGGCATCCTCAAATGTGTAGAGCATCCGCCACTTTAAAGTGTTACGCTACTTCTCGATCACAGAAATAACGCTATCGTGGTTGAGAAGCAGTCATGTCACTGGTAACCTGGCAGTCCTCGCCCTGTTGTACATGCAGCAACGGAGACGTGCTCTATGTAGCTGTTGTTCAGCAGTCGTCATGATCGACCAGCGGTGTAGCTTCCTGTTCAGTTCGGGGGCTCCAGCCACCAAGTTGACCTAAAGTCCCCGCCCCCTAACTGAGAAGAAAAAAGTGCGCCAAAGCCGGGTAGTAGACCATTTTACGACACATTTTTTCAGGGGTAGTTTTCGTCGTTTGCCAGTGCTCAGCTCCCCATTTTATTTCGTGAAACTACGCCTCCGTTCTCGTTGGAGTATTTGGGAGCATTTGACCCAGTTATCTAAGGAACGCCAGTCGAAGGTGTTAGACAGTTATCGCAGACCATCAAGTCTTGAGGTGATGTAACGCCAGGTTAGAAAAGTAGGAAAACATCATTACAGCATTAGAGCCAGTGATCTAGTGGATGCCAGTCAAAGGTATTTAAGCCAGTTGTCGGAGGGATCAAGTCTTTAGGTGATATAATGTCAGGTTACAAAAGTGTGACGACGTGGAATTTTTATAAAAATGTGCGACAAAAGACTAATTAGAACGCGCCACGAAGTTTGGAATCCTTTCTTACATGATCTGCAGGGTACATTAGAAAGCCTGCCCAGCAACATTCTCAGAAACCAATGGCCGGTACTAATCCTACTAGAGTTTGAGTGATGGCATCATGTTGCAACACTCTTCTTCCATGTATGCAAGCAATCACAACCAAGAGATGTGTGCTATGTTTGCTTTCGTGCAAGTCTATTGAAGTTTATCTCTCCCCACTATTGAAGAACACGTAAAGCTATGGCAGTGAATCATGCACCTTTGACTCATACAACCATTGATCCTTGAATAAAGGCCATTGCGCGCGAATGAGTTAGTAAGAACGGGCATACTGCTATTCGTCGCAAGAAAATGGTTATAAATCAATCCTGAGTACTTGGGTAAGGCTTCAGACAGTAAGCAATAAGTCCCAGACTATTTTAGGAAGGACTAATACCGGATCAAAGTAAGCCAGATAATGTATTCCTCATGGGCGAGGCCCCGAGTGTCCGCCTATCTTACAATGCATGGTGAATTCGACGTCGCTGTCGGTGCCGGAATGAAAATCCCAACTCGCCACCGACTAACGAAACTGACGGGAAGTATTCACGCAGAACCACTCGAAACATTTCGCATAAAGTCACGAATGCGTGGCATGACAGCGCCGCCGGATCTCATCAGCGAGATCCGCAGTCCCCGCCCGCTGGAGGGGCTCGCCTGTGACGGAGCGGCCAGGCTTCATCCGAGCCGCCATCCGCCACGCGACCGCAGCGGCCGTCGCGTGGACCGCTGTCTGCCGGCCGACCTTGCCATGGGATTTGACAGACTAAGCCGTCGGTACAGGAACTGGAGGAGCCGGCCGAGCGAGCCGCGAGCCGCCGGCCGGCCGGCGGAGCTCGGCTCCAGCCCGTGCCAACCGGAGGGTCGCTCCGATAGCGGGTTCTCCCACCACGTGGGGAGGGGAGGGAGATGAGTCAGGGCTAGGTGATTCCAAGGAGTAAGACCGGTGACGTTCCCGTCGGAGAGTCGCGCTCAACACATCAGGTATTCGCACATGAGTTTCGACGCTGCAAAATAGGCACTGAGTAAATTTAGAAGTCCTAGAAGATTTAATTTTCGGGAAAGAAACTTGATGGTCATGTCCATTATCTAACTGCTGCATCTGTTCATTTGGACTTTTGTGCAGCCGTTTCCGAGCAACCTTGCTCTGTGAAATGCTCGCAATCGTTATAAAATTTATTTGATTACCTCTACTGGGAACTTCTCAAGCTTGAGCAGGGCCGATTAATAATTTTCTGTCCCATGTGTATTTCGTTTGTAAGAAGCATGCCGCTGCTGTAGCTACCATGCTGAAACTATTGTAAGGCCGACTTTTGCGTTCGCCGCAATATTTCCAAGCGCTCCAAACTATTCCGTATGCCAAGGTTTTCTGAAGAGGCTAGTTTGATCCATCTCATATAAAGCGAACTCTGCCCAGCCACGGCACACCGCATCAAAGTCACGAATTCTGCCTAACCACGGCATACCGCATCAGAGTCACGAATCGCATCGCTGCTGTCGCTGCCGCGATGGATGACGCTCGTGCCCGCCTCGCGGGGGTGGCGCGTGCCCTTGTGATTGGCCGGGCCGCTCTATTGTGGTCCGCTCAGCCGTCGCTCTCCGCCGTGAAGGGCAGACGGCGGCCGCAGCACAGACAAGCGGCCCACACAATCGGCATTGCTGCATGAGACGGATGCACTGAGGCTGCCCAGGCCGCGGCGAAGGGAGACGCAGGCGCCAGGTACCGTCCCGGTGTCTCGTGGTCGGTGCTCGCGGCTCAGCGCGCCGCAACCCGAGACCCCGGCGTTCAGAACAGCATGGCGATATGTGACAGCCACACGCCTGACCAAAAAGATCGGCTGGGAACACGAGTTATCAACAGGCAAAATTTTGAACAGGAATGCAGCAGCATGCAACGCCAATTACGAGCGTGGCCAATAATCTGACGAACAACGAGCGCCGGCTCCGCAAGGCTAGTCAGTGGGCCGCTGCGGTCTCGTCTCGGTTCGGGACCGGTTGGCACCGAAGTTGCCGCGAAATTCGGCGCTGGTTCAAACCCGGATGCCACACTGGTTGCCGCGCGTCGATGACAGGGGACGAGCGTGGCGGCTCCCGCAACACCAGCCGGAGATGACACCGGCTGGTACGAGCGCGCTGAGAGCGTGCCTCGGATCTGGGAGGGGAGGGAGATTCCTCACGCGCCGGGAGACGCGCAGGATCGGGTGTTGGGTCGGTGGGTAGGAGAATCTAGCGGCAGGCGTAGCCAAGTGTTTATCCGATTTACTGGGCATGACCGTGACTAACACACACGGCCTGACTCACACACGGCATTCGCACATCATCGGGCGTCAACTCGCTGGGAAGGAATGCCGTTGTTTGGAGCAGGGAGTGCTGCATTATTTGCGGTTTTCGGGGATCTGACCTTGACCATTTCGTTGGGCCGTGCCAGCTTTGTTCCTGCTGCAGGCCGCATTATTTATATCTCGGTTTGGGCAGTGCACGTGCAAGTGGCCAAACACTGGTCCAGTGTCTGCAGCATCTGCCTGGGTTTATGCTGACTGCACTCCGTTTGACGCAGCCGATACTTTCAATTTCGATCGAGTGACACTTCCACAGCTGCATTACGTTAGCAATGTGCCACTCGGCACAGCTATGGGCAATGAGTATAGACTTGAAAGCTGTAATAGGCAAATTTCAAATGAGTGTCTATTAAAATTATGGCTTCAACAAATATTTCCTGCTGAACTGTTGACAAACCCGTTGTGACGAGTAGTTTGCCTGAATATGCGCGTGAGGCGTTGATAGTGCGAAAGACATGACTGTTAGTGCGTCCAACTTATGCATAAACTGATGCAAAAATAATTTCCGCGAAATATTGTACATTTAAATGTTGCCGCCAGGATTTCTGAGCAAGAATGCCTCAAAGCGAAGCATGCAAAAGAATATTGATCCTGGAGGTAGAGCATCCTGCCCTTGGACGGCACATATATGGCGTGCCGAATGGAAAATGCATTATTAATCTGGTTTGTGGTTGTGCATAGATATCCACTGTTATGGCATTCAATGTTAATAGTCATTCATAGCAACACTTCATGAGCCTTGTTTGTTGCTAAAAACAGACGTATCCACAGAGCGGCGGTTTTGAACACGTCTTTGGGGAAGTCCAAAAATGTTCCCATAGCGATATATGGTAATGATGATGGAATGGACTGGAATGAATGATATGGTATGGAATGATATGAACAATGGAATGAGATATGGAATGATGGTTCCCGGAAACGGCTCAACCCTGCCAGATTGTGTAATATTCCTACTTCTTGACCAAAATTGTAAACTAAAATGGAGATCAGTTATCAGCGTAGTAAACGGTTATTATCTTACGACGCAGAGGGCGTTACGATGCCACACTCTGAAGCCGTCCGGGATTGATTGTGATTTGCGTTGGGAAGGCCTCCGGCGCTGAAACGATTTCCCCAAGGCCTTCTATAGCTGTATGTATGCGTCATGAGAACCTCACAACATACTCAGCTGCTGAGGCTGTACCATTGGCGTCGCCCGCTTCTCAGTCTGGCAGGAAAGGCGGGAACAGCTGAGAATCGAACACCGTGCCTCTGGTTTCCCAGGCGTGCAGTTTGACCACTTCATTGCCGGCACCCCTAAATAAATGTATTATGGTTGTTTTTGAAAAGCGAGGAACTCCTAGAAAACTTTTCCGAATTTAACTCGTTGCAAGAATCGCGGGTTGAAATGAAAAGTGGTTGTGAACAGAGTAGTTGTAAGCGATACTACATTGCATCAATTCTAAATAAGTGTAATTGGATGACTCTCTTGCCCCGTAGAGCGCAGAACATGAACACAACATAGATTAAATGCCTGCTTGGATAAATTGTCAACGTCTGCTGCACCAACTAAACCGTTCGCGGCTAACGTAAGCATTGTCAGACAGGCAGCGGTCTAATCGAGCCGCTGTCGGTAATGAGAAGTTCTGCCCACCGCCTGCCACAGCGCTCGCAGACCGTCATCATTCACCGCCGTAACCATCACCACACCTATATAACAGGCCGGGGTTCTGGCTGACCCGCCATGCTAGGACAGCAGCGACGGCACAAGAGCCTATCAAGTGAGGCGCCGGCATGCGCCGACCTTCGCCTGTCATGTGTTACGACTCACTCATGTGCTTCGGCGCGCGTATAAAATAAATCGCGATTCGATTACATGGCATCGCCTTATTCAAATGCCGACGGCATGCACCATCGCCCCGAGGAAGAGACGCGAGCGCTGAAATACGACATGTCCGTGGTAGCAGTGGTGAGAGTCGGTGAATTAACCCGCATCGACCGGCGCTATTGCTCTCTCTTGGCCACGTTGTGACCGAAATTGGCGCAAGAGCTGCGATCGTGACCAGATAAAATACGGCTGACGTCATCGTGGCGGGGCAAAGGTGGCCGAATGACGTCATGACCGGAGATCATGGATGATGGTCTGAAGTTCTGTGTCTTTGGGTCAAGGTGAAGCTTGGACTCATCATCTTGAAGGTAGCTGGTTAGTTGGGAACCTTTTCATTTGGGAGATCACCTAGGCGATAAATGAAGTGCGCATCACTGTCAATGTGAAGTTCAAGCATGCTTTATGTGTAACATGGAAATTCACGTAAATGTTTTTCGCAAGACTCGTCAGATACTGTTGAAAAGTATGCATGACCTGGTTTAGAGGGGTGACGAGCTCAAACGGAAGGTTATAATCTTTTGCAGTCTACTCGCGAACTTTGAGCACGTCAGGTACCAAAGGCCTGTGTTATTTCGTGAAAATGTTGTGCGTCCAATATTTGTAACACTCCGCTCGCTTGGAAATTGTGGCAACCACATTGCATAGCATTTAATTGTTGCATAAATACGGGTCGAATGAGTACGTCCGCTAGATTTGGCCATAGACCTGATAACGGCAGGAGTTTGTACTAACCAATTAGGTAAGGAAAATTTAGTATTCACTCCTTAACCGTACAAACCAAACCAAACCTGCGAGCCCGTAATCTAACCCGTGCAAAATTTTGAAATCATCGGATATTGCAAAATCCGAAAGTTAACTGAGATGCACAAATTCCTAACATACAATGTCCTATATCATTAAATCAATATATAAGCTCCGCGCATCAAATGAAACGCGAATAGCTAAATAAACCATTCAGATCATTCACTCTTAATTCGAAATTATAGGTTATTTGCAGCATCTTGCTTCGGTCCTAAGGTGTGGAACAATATTATGATTTCATATTTGTCAAGAAAAGCAGATATCCCTGGATCAAATTACGTCGTTAAAAACATCATCAGCAACCATTTCATCATCAACACATATTAACGTAACCAACACACCTAAAGCTACCAAAATGATTTATTTATTTTACCCTGAGGATGTGTAACTTATTCTTTATTCATCTTCCTTCCGGTTCCATAATCATAGGTTGACTTATAACTTGATGCACTTGATGTCCCAGTTCATGGCGTTGGCTCCGCGAGTTTACTCAGCTACAAGCTCCACTTAGCTGGGTGGCCTCCCTGCAGACCCAGCTTAGAACCCAGCATTTAAATGACCAGGTAATTGCCCTTCCGACTTGTGTGACTGATAACCTTTACTAACACTGTGAAGGAGTTCTAGAAGTTTACTGGGTGGTTCTAGCGGCCTGCCATTAGCTGATTTTGACTATGACTTCTCATGCACGATTTGTCCTTGTCTATTGCATAACAAGAACCCTGCCGGGTTTGCACCACCTCTTCGCCTGCATCTTTATGTTTGTTTCTCCCTCTTAGTTGGGAGTGCCCCGAATTGATTTCATGTTTTCTGGTGCTAACGTACGGTTTGGTACGTCACTACCTGTTCTTGGTTAACAGTATGGAAAAACTGATCCAAATGTGTGCTTCCAACTCCCCATCGATGTGATTGTCAAACCCTTGATGTCTTAAAGTTGAGGACGACATGAATCACGCTCGATATCTTTCGATCTATGAAAAAATACGGGTGCCGCATAATTCGCCACCACATGCTCATAAGGGCGGGGGAGCTGATAACATCGTAGACGCCGCTCTAAGGTATTGGCAACGTTAGATTTCGCTTCAGCACCAGAGGAATTAAAGCATCATACAGGTTATCAAACCGGTCACACACCATACCACACCGGCTCACACCACCTCATAGAGCCACACCAGACACACAGCTCACATAACTCACACCAGTTCACACCACTTCAAACAGGTCCCAACGGTCCCACCGACTTGTACAGCTGACACTAGACACGCAGTTCACACAGCTCACACCATCTCACATCAGCTCACGCCTGGCCACACCAGTCTCGTGCTCTCACCAATGCAGACAGCCTTGCCGGAGTCGACGTTCACGATGCAGGTGGCGTTTCCGGCGCACCCCTGGCCGTCGCAGGGCCGGCCGAGCTGCGGCGCCGCCTGGCGCGCGTCGACCGTCTCGCCGCGCACGCACACGGCCAGCGAGGGCGCCGAGAAGGCGACCAGCGCCAGCAGCAGCCTGGCCGCCTGCCTCCACATGGCGCCACTGCGAGCCCGAGCGCGGCGAGGCGCCGCATCGGCGGCCATCGCGGCGCCGGGGCGCGCCACCGCCGCCCGCTGGGACATCTGAGGACCCAGAGCGACGAGGACCCGCCGGGGGCCGGGGAACGGACGGGACCCGCTGGTGCGGGCCGCTGGTGGATCGCGGACGGAAGAGCCCGCAGGACAGACTGCTCGAGCAGGGACTGAGGGAGCGCGGCCGGCGGCCGCTGGCTGATGATGCGCTGCTGTCAGCGGACCTCGGCACCCGACGGTGGGGGCTCTGCTCGGCGCGCCGGTCCGAGCCCGTATGAGCGAGCCATCGGCGGCTGCCCGGCCGTCAGCGGATCAGGGTGTCACCTTGGCCTGCCGGCGGTCGCTCCGCCCAGAGAGGAGCCCCCTTCTGGGAACGTCATCGGCTCGAGCGCGGCACAAGTACTCTCATCACACCCCCGCACCTTGTGAATTTCATGCGTTCGGGCTCACCAGCGCAATGTACTGCGATATTGCGTTGAATATTCTTCCTGTTCTGCTACCGACAAACGCTGCTGTCCATCAATTGTACCACATCGATGGGGTGGCGCAGCAAGGGGTAGACTGAACAGTACAGAACAGAACAGTGCCGGGAGGCAGGAGAGGCAAAAGTTTATTTTGCTCCTCTTAACTTTGAAAGGCGTCTTTTTCTCAAACTGAAGACTTTCTAGCTGCACATATGTTGCAAAAGCTCAGATCAAGGCCTCCATACTTGAGTTAGTTAGTACTAAACGGGACTCAGAGGACCCTTTTCTGTAACAAGAGGCCTGTTTTCAGTTTCAGGAGTTACCTTGCCGATACCTTAGATTCTGAGGTCCTTGAAGTTTTGCGTGGAGGCCCTTTGCTGACTTGCAAGTACGCCGCTAAGTGCGAAGAGTTTTCTGTTCTGGATGAGGAAGCACCTTCTACACATATCAGGAGACCCATTTTCTAGAACAGGGGGCCCGTTTCATGTACCATAAGGCCAATGTTTGAACAGCACTGCTTTGATCAGAAAGACCGTATTCTAGATATTTTGTATCGTCACCACTTATGCACATTGATGTTAATACTTCATTGCATACTGATTTAAAAATATATATTTCATAATCATAACGCAGTGCTGCACGCCTAAGTTTTCGTCCGTCTACGTCAATAGCATTTATTTTGCTTTCGTGGAAGGTGCAGCAAAGCTCACCGAAATTTGGGTTGTATAACTAAGCTACACTGCATGTTTTTCTAAAAGACATAATAGCAATGATATTGATTCGCATTACTGACACTGCCCAGTAGCAGACCCCGTCAGAAGCTGTCCATTTTGTTCCAGGATGTCCCTGTTAAATTTTGCATCCTCAGCTAAAAATCCGTAGCGTCACCGCTGTCGCAATGCGTCAGGATTCTTGATGCTACACACTTCACGCCCGCGACGGACAGACCATCTCGGGCGATATAAGCACGTTACACACCCCTGGACATCTCTCAAAACAATCCCATATTTTCCCTATTGTGCACGACAGCGTGCTCCACGGGTAAGCCGCGTATGTTTTCGCGCAGCTCGACGTGAAACGCCATCAACTTGGACTGTCGTGCTCAAAGCATTGGACATGACAGAAATTTCGTTGAAGTAAACACATAAAAAGCTGCGACTCACTCTCCTAGTCATCTGTCTTATCTCTGCTTGATGGAGCTCCGATAATCTTGAGACCTCCACACCTGTACGTTGCACTAGTTCAGCAAAGCTTCGGCCTTCACACTAGCACAATGCAAAGCGGGAACCTTTTGATAATGCTTCTCATCCGGCAGCGCTTCAGCCTTCAGCGTTATGTGAGGACAGGGACAAAGGTGGTAACATTCCAATAGTTCGTGACCTGTTGGCATTCAAAAATTCAATGTGAAATTACAGTCTTGTGCTCGCTCTAGGACAAACACAATTAAGAGACATTTTTGCGGATTCATCTACTCGAGCGCCGATTATTATCGTTGCAGACGTATCGTGGCAAAAAGTGAAACGAACTTTAAGCTCCATAAATATGCAAATAGGACACCATTTATGTCGTACAGGCAGACGTGGTGTTTAGCACAGGACCGAGGTTTAAATTATATTTTGTCTGGCCTTGTGTGCTTTATGCTACAAGAGCACAAAGTACTTCAACTGTAAAACCCACTTATCCAGAAGTTGTCAGGAGATGGGAAAATTAAACTATCTCAGAATTCCTGTGAATTTGGACGTAATTCACGCGAAATCAGCAGTATCTAGCGTAGCTTTCTGGACTCGGTGTGATATGCCTGCTATGTTGCCGCTCCTCGCCCCGCCTTCAGCTACGTCGCTGACTATTAATGCTCTCAACCACTTGCATATAGCTAAATGCAAAGGCAAACCAAATCACCATCAAGACCACGATGTCATTCAGAATTGTTGGTTTTGCTCGAGCTAATAGATATTATGAACAAGCTTTGTGGTTAGATTGCTGAAAACGAGAAAAATCCCGACGGTGTGCACGCACCTAATCGGTGTTGTTTTTCTCGGAGTTGGACAGTCACCAGCCTAAAATAGCACTTAACTACGCGGAAGCCTGTGAGGGCCGGCTTTGCGGCCACGGCGTCTGAGCTATTATGATCGCGCTATGGCAGTTATGACCGAAGACCAAACCAAACAAACCAACCTGACACCTTGATTTGGACTTGGCGCAAACGCGCGTAGATAAAACACACCGGCGCATGTCAGGATGACAGCGAGCAAAATGGTGGGCAGGCCGCTGAAGATTCGCGGTGTTGGTTTATCCTGCATGTCCTGCACGCCCACAGCCCGCTTCCCACCCGTTGCGGCTGCTTCTTACGAGCTCACCAGGTCATCCGGGGGTTTTGCAAGGCACGCAGACAGCCACCTGCCCGCCGTGATTAGTTCAGCAACGGCGTCCCGACCGGGATTTGCATGAGGATGCGGGGACCGGGCCTCAAGGTCACCGCTGACATCATGCCGTCCATCAGCGATGTTTGGCATGTCTGTGCCGGCACCGTAATGCCCGCCGAACGCTGCAAGCTGTGCATCTCAGCCGCATCACAATGGTGGCGGCTTCGGAGTCGCGAGTGTTTTGTTGACGCGTTGGCCGGCGCCTCGTGCCAATCGCTTCACCCGAGTTCAAGGAGTCGGGGGCTTGCGCAATCCGGCGTCGCGTGTTCATCACTTCACCGATGTCATGGGAGTGGGGGGTATGCTTCGGAACACGCCGTCACTTAGCCCCAGTGGTCCTCACGAACTGTGCCCAACTTTATGCGGAGCGTCATATGGACTGCCTCCGTCCATGCAGCGCTCCATGCAGCTTCAGTTCTGTTCAAAGTAGAAGTCAGGAACCGAATGGTCGCTACCAAAAATATGTTATACGTGACCCGTCGAAATTTATGCTTACTGTTTCGGTAAGACGCGAACGCAGAACCAGTCGGAGTCATGCTGTCAGCCATGCCATGACGTCAGTGATTCATGACGAACCATGGCTTATTCGAGGAGAACGCGCTGGCCACAATAATTCAACTCTATCCGGTCGATGCCTGGCTTAAGTCAGTTCTGCAACGGTCCATTGCATCACAGATGATCTCATTCAGGTGATGTCAGACGCAGACTTGTGCTCAACTTGAGCTGAATCACTGACCGAGTTATGAGTCAATCGTTTTGGGCCGAGTTGTGACTTGAGTCGGCTCGTAAGAAAAAAGAATGTCGCTTTGAGTCATGAGCTGAACCAGATTCTTCTTTAATTTCATTGCCTGAATCTTGACTTGTTTTAATTCTTCACATATGTCACGAGATCATCATTTCTAACAATGTTGTGTCAGTGAGTCATATGGGTCAAATGAAATGAGGAAACACAGGACCCGCCAGACAAATTAACAGATCATTTCAGAGTGTTGAAATAAACAACATGTAGCACAAGTTATAAAGTTTTCGCAAAATTGGCAAAAAGTATGTTATTGTAATCTCTAAGCCTCACAGTACGGTTGATCCTAAGCTAAATGCCAGATCTCAGTCAAGAACCAAAGGATATTACATGGTGCATGCATCCATTCCTACGTTCCTATGCGCTACGCTAAAATCAGTACAAGACTGTCTGTTGACTGCTGCCTATAAATTCCAAGGGCTGGACATATTTTTCGTCGCCGATCATCACCAATGAACTAATCCATATATGTCCCCTCATTCACTACTTCTGGAACTGCCATAAGCACGCTCCTGCTGAGGCTATACGAAAACAGCAGCAATAGTAGTAGCGTCGTCTCGTCTCATATGCGGATTGTATGTCGCGGAATACGGCCTCCCGGAGATTGGATCAATATCTTTTTCCACGCAACGCGCCACTTGCAAGTCAGAATTTGACCTCCAAACTTAGTGGTCTTGGAATGCGGGTAAAGTGGTGCACAGCACTCTAATTTCTATGCAATGTAGAAGCTTGTTTTACTTTGCGATAAATTACAAGGAAACCGCAAGCTAGTTTTGTTAGCTTGTGCCAGACCGACCAAACCGACTAAACGGCTAGATGCAGTCTTCGAGCAGTCAAGTTAGCTGTGCGGTTTGCCTGCATGCGCGGGAGAGTGGCATTGCTTGTAATTAGTGGCAAATTATTTTTGTGTTGCTTTCGTTGGATATATTGTGTGATAGCATGCTCTCTGCAGGTCATAGATAAATCCGATCGGCCGGATATTTTTTTCTTGTGTTCCGCGAAAATGGTGATAACGTTGCCAGTCGGAGGCGTCAACCAGACCGCATGGTTTTCTTTCATCGGAGCATGTATGGCCTAGTTAGGGTCAGCCCTTCCCGGTTTTTTACTTTTGAAAACCTCTTTCAGCTTTTTAATTGACCTGTCTGACTTTTTGTATTTAGTTTATATCAGATGAGTGCCTTTTCATGGTTGCACATCGGAGATATTGTGATTAGGAATTTTTGTTGTGACGCCTCCCTATTTCGTTCCTGGATGGTAAGTCTCATCTTATTTTATCCCCTGCTACTTTGTCTGTAACAAACAGTTCATTCAATGCTGTGTCTAAATTTTGGTATTGTTTTC